TTCATCTCTGCTGCAGCCTTGTCCTTGTTCCTTTGATGGCTGGATTCTGCCTCTGTCCCTGCTCTCAAATAAATCCTTCAGGAAGAAGAAAAAGGGGGTGGGGGGTGGGCGAGACGAAGAATGGAGAGGAAAAGGGGAGAGAGGAGAGGCAGGGAGAAAGAAAGGCTGAGAGATGCTGTGTTCCTGCATCTCCATGGCCCCAGGAAGAGGGATGTGGAACTGCTCCCTGCTCTCTGTCAGGAGTCGCCATGGAGACTGAGTGCTGGCCTCTTCATGATTAATACTCGGAGGCAGCTGTCTTCTTGGAGTCTTTTTAAAAATACATACACTATTATTTAAACACAATGATATTTAGAGCAGAAAGATCAAGGTGGGGAGGGGGAGGGGCAGTAGCATTACCAGAACGATGACAGGGGCTGGGCCCTTCCCCACCTCCCTCCCTGGATCCAGAGCTTCCAGTCTCATCCACTGTGGCATCAGCATCCGAAGGGCCCTCGCAGCGCCTGGCACGGGGCTGTGCTCAATGAACACTTGATGAATGAATTTGTTCATTCATTAATTCATTCACTAATTGCCTGTTCAATGCTTATCTAGAAAGCAAACTCTCGTGCTCGCTTCGGCAACACGTACTAGGATACTAAAAAATAAATAAAATGGAACGATACAGAGAAGATTAGCATGGCCCCGAGCAAGGATGATACGCAAATTCATGAAACGTTCCATTAAAAAAAAAAATGAAAGAAAGTAAACTCTCACCCTAGTCAGTTGGCTCAGTGGATAGAGTGTTGGCCCTCAGATTGATGGGTTGTGGGTTCGATTCCGACCAAGGGCATGTACCTCGGCTGCAGGCTTGATCTTGCCCAATTGATGTATCTCTGACATTGATGTTTCTCTCTCTCCTCCTTCCTTCCACTCTCTCTAAAAATCAATGGAAAAATGTCTTTAGGTGAGAATTAACAACAAAAGTAAACTCTACTTCACCTTTTTCTATGGAAATTAGAAATTTCCTCTCATATCCTCCCCTCAAGGCCACACACACCACCACCACCAACAAAGACAACACCAACAACTTTCACCCTGGCTGCCAGGAACCTTGTATGCATTCTCAGCACGTGTCTGATATGACCACAGCATTGCTAGCCAAGGCAGTCATTCCAGGGAATTCTTGCAGGGATGGGCACAACCAGATCAAGTTTCCACATCATACCCTATTTGAAAAGCTAGAGGGCTCCTTCATCTAAAGTCATTCTAGAGTGAATCCTTTTGTAAAATGAATTCTCTCCCTAAGTTATCTTGTGAAGCAGACTAGCCTGGGCTTAACTCTCAGTGCGACCATTAATAGAAGTGTGGCAATGAGCATGTTATTTACTAGAAACTTTTCCACGTCTATTTCTTCATCTGTAAAATGGGTCTCCAATTCCTTCCTCCATAGAGCTTTTGTGATGATGAAATCTGTCAGTAAAGTGCTCAATGTATAGGATCGCCCTTTTTTTCATTCTGTGAATTTGTGTTTTATATTTGAAGCGTGAATTAATGTGGAGCTTACAGGTCTATGCTCCTATCTCTTCCATCCTTTTCCAATGATCTTTATTCTATCTGGGTCCAGAATCTCTCTCTTTTTTAAAAAAAATATATTTTATTGATTTTTTACAGAGAGGAGGGGAGAGAGATAGAGAGTTAGAAACATCGATCAGCTGCCTCCTGCACATCTCCCACCGGGGATGTGCCCGCAACCCAGGCACACGCCCCTGACCAGAATCGAACCCGGGACCCTTCAGTCCGCAGGCTGACGCTCTATCCACTGAGCCAAACCGGTCCTGGCCAGAATCTCTTTTTTAAGCCATTAAAATCAGGGGGGCCCGAACCGGTTTGGCTCAGTGGATAGAGCGCTGGCCTGCGGACTGAAAGGTCCCAGGTTCGATTCTGGTCAAGGGCATGTACCTTGGTTGTGGGCACATCCCCACTAGGGAGTGTGCAGGGGGCAATTGAATCGATGTTTCTCTCTCATCGATGTTTCTAACTCTCGATTCCTCCCCTTTCCTCTCTGTAAAAAATCAATAAAATATATTTTAAAAAATAAAAATAAAATCAGGGGGAAAGGATGGAGAGGAGCTGTGCTGGGAAGGACTACAAAATGTCCATTCCCTCTTTATATTTCCTCCTCCTCCTCGAGGAACCAAATGCAGATGCAACTGCCCTTCACAGTAACCATCCGTGTATCAGAGTGTGTGTTTGTGTGTCCACTGAGAGTGGCTGGCCCACACCCAGACCACAAACTGTGTTCTTCATCTCCCCTCCTACTCACTTCTCCCTTCCCAGCTCTGCAGTTAGGCCTGACCTCTAACAAGATAAAATAGGGGAGTTGGACCCTTGTCTAACGCAGGCCTAGCCCAAGGGCCTTTGGCAGAGAGCAGCAATGGCCCGGGATTTGCCAAAAGAGTAGGGAAATTATCCATGACTAAGAAGCAGGAGGAATGCTGTGGCAGAGGGAAGAACAACAGAAGGGACAGGGAACCTGGGGCTGGCCAATCTGGCCTGACGGGGAAACCTGGGGAGCCCTGGACACCTGCCTAGCCAAATCCCTCTGCTCCGCCTCCCTCCTAAGCAGCAAAGTGCCAGAATGGATTTGAGACATGTGTGCCCTGCGTGTCTGGTGTGGGCTTACCTGGTCTTGGCAATGCGTTTGGATTAGGATCAAAATCAGGGCTGAAGTAGAGTTTAAAATAAATAGTGCTCCGTGTGTCCAATCCTTACAGACATGTGCTGGGTTTCTGCATTTCCTACATACAAACACATGTGCTGCTAACATAGAACTGATCTGTGGCATTTGTTAGAACATGCTGCATGTGCACAGCTGAGAAAACCTTTGTATGATTTCCAAACTCAAGAAGAAAATCAATGCTAGTGTGCTCACAGGTGTATTGCAGGTGATCATGTGATGACATATTCCAAGAACACACTTGTAGGGTCCTTGTGGATTGGGGTAAGTAGCAGCAGGGAATGGAGATGGATGTCTGGGTCCTGGTCGAATAAAAACCAAAATCTACCTTCTGGCCCATAGTAGACACTTAAGGAATTAATACTGAATGAATGACCATTGAGAAATTGAATGAATGAATGTTTGGATAATGGACATAGGGTGAAAGGCCTGAGAATTTGGTGAGGTTTGGGTACTCTTGGAGAGTATCAGTCAGCAAGGGAGACTGGGATATACACTGCTGGTTATGCTGTAGCCCATCACCCTGAGTGACTTTGTTCTCATTCCTAGGAAAGTAGAGAGGGAGGAGGGAACCCCAGGCCTGCCCTCCCCACCTTCCAGCACCCAGAGCTCAAAGTAGTGGTGCTCTTGGTAAAGAAAATATGCTATCCCATGTACTCATTTGATCTGCTAAGTTGTCCCAGAAAGAAGTTAAGTAAGCTATAACACAAAATAAATTTTTAAACAATTATTTTAAAGATGAGAATATAAGACAGAGGGAACCACAGCAGGATGAGATCAGGAGAGTAGGCAGGTGTCTTTGTGGGAATTGACTGATATGCAGCCAAGATTCACGGCCTCCTTAAGGTTAGGGAGGTTGTTTTGTGTCTTTTCCTGGCCTGCCTCTCTCTCTCTCTCTCTCTCTCTCTCTCTCTCTCTCTCTCTCTCTCGTGCTTTTCAGAAGGAGCCCAATTATTCCAGGTACTGATTCTAGGGAAATATATCCTGTCAATCCTCTGTGTGTTGCTGAGATCAACATCCCTAAAGTACGACATTTATATGGAGGCAAAAAAAAGTTCTACAGAATAATCTCATTACCCTGTAGGTGAAGGAAGAGTGAGCAGGAATTGGCCTTACTTCTCTGGAGGACAATTCACCAGGTGTCCATCAAAATTTTACATACCATTTGACCAAAATTTACACTCATTGGAATTTATCCCACAGATCTATTCACGGGTATATAGTCAAGGATACTGACTACAACAATGTTGGTAAAAGCAAAACGTTGGAAACTTCCTGTATGATCATGGATAGCAGACAAATTGATCTCCTTTAAAAAGGAGCATTATATAGCCTTAGAAGACATTTAATAGAGACTTTTAATTTTTAATTAAAAACATATCCTTGGGTACTAACTGACCTTTTCTCTCACCATTAGCAAGTAGTATGGTCCTTTACAATTTAAATGTTATTTTTCCTAGGATAAACTAAAACAACTATTAAGGAAATTAAAAACACAAGTGTGAGAAAATAACGAATAACTGGTTTACTGAGTACCCCAGTGCCTAGAACTTAATATGCTTTTAACCCAACTACTCTTTATAGCAAATATATGAAGTAGACACGTATAAGAATCTGCATTCGCCTTAGCCGGTTTGGCTCAGTGGATAGAGCGTCGGCCTGCAGACTGAAGGGTCCCAGGTTCGATTCCGGTCAAGGGCATGTACCTTGGTTGCGGGCACATCCTCAGTGGGAGATGTGCAGGAGGCAGTTGATCGATGTTTCTGACTCTCTGTCTCTCTCCCTTTCTCTCTGTGAAGAATCAATAAAATATATTTTAAAAAAAAGAATCTGCATTCAACAGGTGAGGAAACCGACGCTCACGAAGATTAAGACACAGCTGGTAAGTGGCAGGGGGCGGATTCGAACCCCAAACTGTGGAACCCTGAACCCACGCGTCCTTTCCTCGCCGTCCTTCGGCCTCTGCCTCCAGGCGGGAAGCGCACTTACTGGACGTCGGCCCCCACGCGGTGCAGC